CTTGCTAATTTGGTTGGAATACGAAAGATGGAGAGAAAATAGGTTGGAAGGTTTGCTAGTATCGATTTAATCAAAGTAATCCTTCCCCCAATGAAATATAATTTCTCTTCCAAACTGCAAGCTTCTTTTCGAATTTCTCCAAGACAGGATTCCAAAAAGAAATACAGATTTTGGATTTCTACCTAGGGCTAATCCTAAATAAACTAAAGGCCAATGATCTAGTTGACATCCCAAGCATTCAGCTAGTGCTTCTAACTCTTCTTGTAAGTTTACCCCAGCCAAAAAAAAACTCTTCCTTAAGTTTATTCTCAATTTGGAGCAACACTCAAAACCAGAGATGACCTCTTTTAAATTTCTCCACCAATTCTCAATTCCTTCCTCACAGAAAATGATAAATATTATCCACAAAAAGTGTGTCATAGTCACTTCTTGCCTCCCCACTCTCCAACCCCTTAGGAGATTACTTTCATATGCTTTTGAGATCATTCTACTTAGCACATCAGCCACTATATGAAGAGAATAGGAGAGAGGGGGTCCCCTTGCCTTAAATCCCTCTTTACTGCAAAGAAATCTCTTGAAACTCCATTAATCAGAATAGAATAGTGACAAGAATGGATGCATCCTCTATTCCATTTCTGCCACTTAACTCTAAAGCCCATTTTCTCCAAAATCTTCAAAGGTAAATTCTAGTTCACAAAACCATAAGCCTTTTCTAGGTCTAGTTTGCAAATTATACACTTTTCCCCTCTTTTCCTCTTATCCTCTACACATTCATTTGCAATCAGAATTTGATCTATTATTTGTCTCCCCTAGACAAAAGCTCCTTGACTTTTTGAAATCACAAGTGGAACACCTTGCTCAGTTTCCTAGAAATGACCTTTGCTAGGATTTTATAAAGGCTTCCCACCAAGCTTATTGGGCTATAATCCTTTGGGTGTAAAGCTTCTTTCTTCTTTGAAATTACTCCAATAAATGTGGCATTAGCACTTAGATTTACTTCACTTTTAACCCAAAGTTCATTGAAGACTTTCAATAAATATTCTTTGATTATCTCTGAGCATTTTTGGTAGAAAGCCATAGTGAAACCATCTGGTTTTGGAGCTTTTGAATTATCAATTAAGAGCACTACTTCTTTTATCTCCTCCAAGGTGAACCTACCTTCCAATGTTTCCTTTTGGGATAGAGACAATCTGACCTAACTGTAGGTATATGTTGGTCTCCACAACTGCAATAGCACTGAAGGTGCTAAACCAATGCTACAGAGACAGCCGTGGCGAGTTCACAACTCGGCGCAAATTTGTGATGAGCTCAAAGCCTACACAGGCTTGCGATGAGCTCAAAGCCTACACAAGCTTGCGATGAGCTTAAAAGCTACCCGAGATCTGCGATAAGCACAGAAGGCCATCCAAGACTTGCGGTGAGTATAAGACACCTCTTAGGACCCACGGTGAACGATAGGCGTCGACTTGCGGTAACATCACAAGTCAGATCTTGTCCTTTAACATGTTGCTACTAGGAAACCCGCAAGGGGACGTAGTCTACACATGCTACATGAGAATCCTTAAGAAAAAGAAAACTTTGTCTTTGGAGGATCTCGATAGACATGTGGCGAAACCCCAATGGGAAAGGTCCCCTTTCCTAATAGGAAAGGTCTCCTTTTAGATCCTTCTCCTTATAGTCTTGGGGTGCTCTCTATATAAAGGGGAATAACTCTTCCCCACAGCAGGTAGAGATCACATAACCTTAATCTAGGGTTTCTTAGAAAGAGACTCTCCCTTCTCTCCTCTCTTCCCCTCTCTTCCCCACGTTCTCTCTCTTTCCTGTCGCCTTCTCTGGACCTTCGGAGAATTGACCAACCACCAAGATTCCATGGTGATTACACTAACCTAGCTTAGGAAAAGTATTTCTTTGGTCCTTCCGTAGATGCCTTTAAGATGATTTACAAAAACTGTCACAATGTCCTCTTGCCTTGTTAGCATTTCTCCCTCAAACCCTACTCTATGAATGAAGTTTTTCTTTCTTCTTCCATTTTCTAGAGTGAAAAAATATAGTGTTCCTATCACCCTCTAAAAGCCCTCTGCATTGTGATTTTTGTCTCCAAGAAATTTTCTCCTTCCTCAAGATCTTCCATCTCTCTTTTAAAACCCATCTTTCTTTCCTTTCATCTTCTAATAAGATTCTCAAGGATTCTTCATCTAACTCTTCTACCCTCTTAAGAATCCAGCTCTTCTTATCCTCCACCCTCCCAAAATTTTATTCCACACTTTTATCCTCTCTCTTAGTCTCTTTAGCTTTTTGACAAATATCACTCCTTTTTCTCTCACAAAGATTCCACTTTCTTCCCACCACTCCTTAACTTTCACCCGAACTGGGGGTCTTCCAACCACATGTTTTCAAATCTAAAAGGGGTTAGTCCTCCTATGAGCCTCTCCTCCCCTAAACTTATAGGACAATGGTCTAAGGTTATTCTAGTCAGGGCTTTTGAAGCTAAATCTTCCCACATCTCTTCCCAATCCAATATGAATAAAAAACTATCCAATTTTGAGCAAACTGGATTATTTTGAAAATTGGACCAAGTGTAGTGTGCATACAGGAGAGGTAATTCCTTCAGTTCCAAAGCCTCCACCAAGTTATTGAACTTCGTCATACTTGTAGTTATTCCATGGCTCGGATTATTTGACTCATTTGAGAATCTAATAACCTTGAAATCCCCCTAGACACCATGGACCTTCCCAAAGGCTCCTAGTATCACTCAACTCTTCCCAAAAAAGGTTCCTTCCCCTAGGCACTGTTTCCTCAGCATTGCCACAAAGTTTACAGTGATTGGCTATGTGTGCTGAATGCTGTATTCAAAGTAGAGAAGTGAAGAAGAAAACCACTGGTATGCTGGAAAATGTTGAACTGTACTGTTCAGTCGACCAGCAATGATTTATATTWGAATGAAGTACAATGGTACAAGAGTTTACTGGAATGCCCCTGATTAGTGATGGGACACCCAGTTAACTTAAAACATTAAACAGGCTTAGGCCCATTAACCCAGGCCCAGTTACAGGATAATTTAACTTAAGTATGGGCTAATAAGACTCTTATCAGCCGAACACTCATACAAAGAGACTTCATTCTAACATTCTAACAGGCTACGATCATCCCTCTCTGCTGCAGATTGTTGATTTCAAGAATTTTGTCCAAAATAACAGTCTACAAAAAGAAGATAGCGTTAGATGGGGCTGCAGCTGACCAGATCCAACACAACGCCTTAGGAGTGGCCCCCCAGGCCAATTAGCTTGTTGAAAAATGATTTGACTGAGAATGCACGATTTATGGTTGCTGCCCATCTAATCTGATCTGCAATATGTGGTCTGATTTGGATCTGTGAATGTACCATTGCCGGTTGCTGCTGATAGGAACCTTGGACTGCCTCAGTAAGCCAATAGTTTTCAGCTGAATCATACTTGCATTGAATGATTCTCCTCCAAAGATCGTCCCTCTGAGTATTGTACCTCCAAAGCCATTTTCCCAAGAGGGCTTTATTCATTTCCTGGAGAGGCTTTAGACTTACCCCCCTCTTACTTTTGGTTTGCAAACCTGCTGCCTTGCCACAAGATAGAACTTCTTTTCATCATTCATCCCATCCCAAAGAAAGTCCCTTCTTGCCTCCTCAAGAGAGTTAATTACTGAGATTGGAGCTGAAAATAAGGAGAAATAGTATGTTGGCAGATTCAGTAAAACACTTTGGATTAAAGTAACTTTACCCCCTTTCGATAAGTAAAGCCTTTTCCAACCTGCAAGCTTGTGGTTGAACCTTTCAATGATGGATTCCACATCTCCTTTGACTTATAATTAACTCTCAAAGGCAGGCCCAGAAATTTTGAAGGTAATGATCTCCACCTGCAACCAAGAACAGCCACCAACTCTTGGATATTAACCACATCACGTACTGGAATTATCTCACTGTCTTCAAATTTATTTTCACTCCCAAGGCAACTTCAAAACAGATCATTAGGCATCTCAAAAACAGTTGATCTTCAGTTCTTGCTCTTGAAAAAATAATAGACATCTGCAAATTGTAGGAGGGAGATAAAGGGGTTGTCATCACTCACCTTGAATCCTTCAATGTAACCTCCTCCTTCTGCCTTCTTAACCAGTCCATTTAGAGCTTCCACAATTATTATAAATAGAAATGGAGAAAGAGGATCTCCCTCTCCCAAACCCCTCTTTCCTCTGAAGAAGTCTTTTGGCTGGTCATTTATCGTAATAGGAAACCAGGCAGTTGAGATACATATCCTAATCCAGGACCTCCATTTCGGGCCAAAGCCCATATGTCTCAACAAGTACTCAAGGAAATCCCACTGGACATGATCGTAAGCTTTCTCTTAATCCAGTTTACATTTGATTCCCGGTGTCCTTGGCAAAATTCTGGAGTCCATGCATTTGTTTACTATGAGCACCCCATTCTAAATTTGACATCCATCCACAAATGCCCCTTGGGAGGGGGAAATTAAAGAGCCCAACACTTCCCTCAATCTGTTTGCAAGCACTTTGAATATTATTTCGAGTATACTTCCATGTTTCTATGCAAAATACATAACCATCTATGGGCTTAAAACATTAATTGACTATGACTAGTGAGCAAGGAAGTTTGGCACTAAAAGGTGGTTTTGGTTCAAACTTTACTTGTACATGCTATTTCTGTTGTGAATCCCTACATTTTAGGGTGATAAGATAGTAAAAGTAAATGATTTCTGTGCTCAACATGTGCATTAGAAAATTAAGAATTGGGTTTATGAGAATTTACATATGTATCTTTGAAGCATGAATTAGCTTCAGCTATCTGGTGTATCTCAGTTGATGTCTTGACGACTTCCAGTTACAGATTGCCTTCTGCATTATAAATGAGAACACTTCTCCAATTTTGGCAGTAATGGATTCTTCATGTGTGAAAGTAGTTTTTCTTTACTTTTCATTTGCTTTTCTATCTATAAGAGCTTATCTTGATATAGGTTGCTACCATTGGAGAAGGTGTATCATTAGAGGCCCGTCTCTTAAGCAGGCAAGGTTTAAAGTTCAGATTCATGTCAGTTCTGTCTTTATATGCTTATACATCTATAACTCTTTTTGGTTTGTTTACTATTCAGGAAGGAGGCAGCACTGCAACAAAGGGAGGTACATACAATTGCTTGTCCCATGCCAATCTCCATGCAGGATAGTGCATCTTAATACACACATACATATAACACATGCGCATACTTGTATAGTTCAGAGTCAATAACATGATCAATTATAATCTTATATCTACTTCCAACTTTTTCTTTTTTGATCATAACTCAGAACGAAATTTATTAAAATTATGAGAAAACAGAACAACAAGAAGTTGTGGAATAAACAAATATGACAGTGTCAAAATCCCCCACAGAAATACAATTGAGCCCAAAACGTAGATTTTTTTGAGAAAGAACCCCTTGCTTAGCTACACCATCCGCCAGGCTGTTAGCAAACCTTCTTACCCAATTAACTTGAATGGACTTATCCTTAGAAAGCCAATAGAACCGTCTGAGATCATTCCTTAGATGCCAAGACACTCCTTCCCCCTTCTTTAGCCAATCCATAACTATCTTGGAGTCACCTTCAATAATTGACGTTTCGGAACCCAATTCTTTGGCTTTCCCAACTCCAAAAACTGCTGCCAAGAATTCTGCTGTGGCTACATCACCTTGCTCAGTTGGACCTGAGAAAAAGGCATGTATGTTTCCTTCCTCATCTCTAATTACCCCTCCAATTCCGGATGGGCCTGGATTGCCCACACAACTCCCATCAAATTTCAGCTTCATTCAGCCAATAGGTGGGGATGACCATTCCACTGTTACCAGCTATCTTCTAGAAGAGGAGTCAGCAATAGCCCCCCAATACCTGAAAAATCAACCTTAAAATCAGAGAAGAGATTCAAGGTCTTGACCCATTATGCCACTCTTAGAGTTATGATCTCTATTAAGGCTTCCTTACACCTCTCCTTATCCTGGAAAGTTCTTGAGATTATTTCTTCCCAGACTGTCCAACCACTGCTGCCCTAGTACATTTCCGCATCAACCTGCCCCTCCTTTCTGTACAATTGCAAACAGAAGGGCTAAACAACCCTTCCAAGCTATCAAGAGGTGAAGCAAACCAATCCCAAATACCTGCAACCAAAATGTGAAGCAAACCAATCCCAAATAAAGCCAACAAAGGGACAAGATATTAAGAGATGAAACATAGTCTCACCATTTAACTTGTATAAGCAGCACCAATTAGGGGACAAGTACCAGTTTGGCCTCTTCCTTTGAAGTAAATCACAAGTGTTAATACATCCATGAAACACTTCCCAGCAGAAAGCACTGACTCTAGGAGGAATGGGAGCACACTAAATTTCCTTAACAGGGAAGGAAAGAGAAGGGGAAAGTGAGGAGGCAATAAGAGAGGTAAACAAAGACTTAGAGGTGAAAAGTCTGGCTTGATTAATGGTCCACATCCTACTATCCAACTATCCAAGCCAACTTTCCCTAGGACCAGAAAGTTAAGCAAGGTAAGTAAAGCAGACACAAAGGGAACCTCAGACTCTTTAAGATTCCTGGTGAAGCCCAAATTCCAGTTCAACCCAGAAAGAGAAGAAGGAGAGTAGAGAAACGCAGACATTGGTCTACCTTTGGGATTGAAAAGAGTATAAAGGGACAGAAAAGTCTCCATCAAAGGTGACTCACCAATCCAAATATCTTAATGAAACCTTATTTTCTGGCCCGAGACCAAGTCATACTTGATGTGGCTGAGGAAAACAGGAAGGATATCATGAATGGCTTTCATTCTGACATTTCCAATTCCCAGCCCCCCTTCTACCTTCAATTTCACCACCTTCTCCCACCTAATCAAGTGATATTTCTTCCCTTTCGCAGGTTCCTACAAAAAGTCTCTCATAATCTTTTCTATCTTTCTCACAGCGACTTGGGGCATCTTGAAGACCGACATATAATGTACAGGAAGGATTGCTAAGGTGGATTTGATCAAGGTTATTCTTCCTCCCAAAGAAATGTAATTCTTTTTCCACCTAGCTAATCTCTTCCCAAACCTTTCTACCACTGGGACCCAAAAGCTGAGTGATCTAGGGTTGTCACCTAGAGGTAATCCTAAGTATTTAAGTGGTCAATCCCCTTTCTTGCAACCCAAAGAGTTTGCCATGTCCTTCAAATCACCTTCCTCAACATTTATGCCATTTGGAAAAATGAAGAGATGGATTGCTCCAAAGAATTAAATTGGTTGCTTCATGGTTACAACAAAATTTAGGAGGAGAAAGGATAGGATGGAATGGGCACTAACAAATGTTTATGGTCCAAATTTGTATAGGGAAAGGGAGGAGCTTTGGCAAGAACTTGCAGCAGCTATGTGGGAGGGTCTGGATTTTGGGTGGTGAAGTGATTTTAATGTGATTAGATTTGTCTCTGAAACAAACAACCCCAACCATAGGATCACCTCAAGCATGAGGGAATTCAACCACTTTGTGGACTCCTTTGAGTTAAGAGAGTTGCCAATGCTACAAGCTAATTTCACTTGGTCTAACTTTCAAGAAGAGCCCCTTAGCTGTAACTTGGATAGATTCCTTTTCTTTTCAGATTGGGAGGAATTTTGGAGAGAGCTGGCTGTAAGAGCTCTACCTAGACCTACGTCAGATCATTGCCCAATTAGACTGTCACAAGAAAGATTGGGAGGTCCGTGCCCATTTAGATTTGAAAATATGTGACTTCTCCACCCAGAATTTAAAAGGGAAGTAAAAGATTGGTTGGATGAGGACCAAGTAGCTTTTAGATGGAAAGGTTACAAATTCTATAAGAATCTATAAAAGCTGAAAGCTAGGATTAAAGATTGGAATAAAGAGGAATTTGGTAGAGTTAAAGAAAAAAAAGGAGACCATTAAAAGGTTTCAATATTTAGACCTAGTAGAAGCTTGTGGAAGTATGAGGGCAGTAGAGAGGGAGGTTAAAAGTTGAACTAAAGGAAATCCTTAGAAGAGATGAAACAAGCTAGAGACAGAAATCAAGATGCAAATGGATGAAAGAAGGGGATGGTAATACAAGATTTTTTCATAACTTGGCAAGTGGAAGGAAAAGAAAGAATATGATAAAAAGTCTGGATTGGAATAGAGAAGTGTTGACTGGTGAAGCGGACATTGCACGATCCCTAGTTGAGCATGTTAAATCCATCTTTGATAGCCCTAGTAGTTTGAGAGAGCCTCTAGTCGATTTTTAATGGCAGATGGGTGACAGAGATTTGACGGAGTCCTTGGAGAGACCTTTTGAGAGTCAAGAGATAAAAGCAGCCCTTTTCTCTATGGATAGGTCAAAAACCTCGGGTCCAGATGGCTTTATAATGGCCTTTTATCAAGATTCTTGGGACATTTTTAAGGGTGGACTTGCTGGAGGTATTCTCAAAATTCTTTGAAAAAGGGAAAATTGATTCGGGTGCAACTGTGACATTTTTAGCTTTGATTCCTAAGAAGGTGGGTGCACGCCATCCTAAGGATTTTAGACCCATCAGCTTGATTGGGAGCATGTATAAGTTAATTTCTAAAGTTCTTGCCTTGAGGTTAATAAAGTACTCCCATCTATAATATCACTAAATCAAGGGGCTTTCGTATTAGGGAGACAAATCATCAACCAAATCCTTATTGCTAATGAGTGTGTGGATTACAGGAAAAGAAAAGGTGAAAAGGGCTTGAATTGTAAACTTGATCTAGAAAAGGCCTACGACTTGGTAGATTGGGACTTCTTGCTAGATGTTTTGAAAAGTAGAGGTTTTGGAGAGAGGTGGTGTAAGTGGACTAAAGACTGTATAACTACTTGCCACTATTCCATACTGGTTAACGGTGTAGCTAGAGATTTTTTTCATGCTAAGAGATGTCTCAAACAAGGAGACCCTTTGTCCCCCTTCCTTTTTACTCTTGTAGCGGATTTTTTGAGTGTGTTGATAACTAGGGCTGACTCGAAATTTAATCAAAGGTTGGAGAATTGGGAGGCATCAAGTGATAGTCATACACTTACAATTTGCAGATATCATTCTTTTTTGTGAAGGGGAACCAGAGGAAATTGAGAATTTGAAGCTTTTAGTGACACACTTTGAGAAGGTTTCTACTTTGAAAGTTAATTGGAATAAGAGATATGTAGAGGGATTAAACCAACAAGAAGAAGAGGTGATACCTTGAAAGAATGGTAGGATCCATCTAATGGATGCCATAAAGATTGCGGAATGGGTGGGTGAATTTCAAAAATTTTCCTACCTTCTTCCAGCTGGGAATTGTATTCCCTATATTTAGAATACAATATTCAAGGATCCTACTTGTACCATAATCGAACCAGATCTGAACCAAAAGGGAAGGTAGGAATTATACCTGATCCAGAGAAGCAGTATCTCCCAAAGTTGGTGTTCACGCCCAAAGAGGACACTAAGATTTGCTCCTGCTGAAGATGACACAACTATATGTGGAACGGAACCAGCAGGGTGCATCCTACACACTGAATCCTTCGCAAGAATCCACTTGAAACTCTGAGCACCAAATCTTTTCAGTCTTTTCTGCAAAACTGATGTCAAGAACCAATTTCTTGATTCCTTTCTTCTTCAAAGATCGAATCTTGTAAGAAAGAAAGGCGGTGGCTAGAGGAGAACTCCTGAAGTGAAGATGGCTGAATTGCTTCTCTTCTCTCTGGAGTGTGTATGAGATGCAATCTCAATTTGCAGGATGTTTTCTTGCACAAAACCCTAGGTTCGAAATCTGATTATGATCTCTTAGGGTTTCTCCTCTTTTCTTCTTGATTAAGGTTAGGAGTTATCCCAATCCAAATCAGTATTTGGATAGGGGATGATCTCAATCCTATCTGCAGATTAAGTTAGCTTACTCCTGATCTTATCAGGAGGTTACCAGATTCAAATCTGATTTGAATTTGGTCTCCCAGAGTGGATAAGGTTAAAGGCCCAATCCTTTTGCTAACTTTAATCCCAGATCCACCCCATAGATGGGTGATCATATCAGCCAGCTCGAAATGGGCTTTT